ATTCTGAAGGTGATTTTATAACTCACTGATGGGACGTAGGCTGGACTAGCATTTATTGCCGCTCCAAAATTGTCCTTGAGAAGGCAGTTTGACTTCCTGAAATGTTGCAGTCCATGTGCTGTAAATAGATCCACAATGCCATTAGGGAGGGAATTCCAGGACTTTGACCCAGTGATGTAGAAGACATGGTGACATATATCCAAGTCAGGATGGTGAGTGGCTTGGAAGAGAACTTGAAGGCATTAGTGTTCTCATGTATCTGCTGTTCTTGTCCTTCTGGATGGAAGTGGTCATGGTTTTGGAAGATGCTATCTCAGGAGCTTTGGTGAATTTCTGTAGTACATCTTGGAGATGGTACACTCTGCTGCTGACAAACATCTATGGTGGATGGAGTGGATACGGTGCCAATTAAATAGGCTTCTTTGTCCTAGATGATGTCAAGCTTCTTGGGAGTTGTCAGAGCTACATTCATCCAGGAAAGTGGGGACTATTTCATCACTAGTGCCTTATAGATGGTGACAGACTCTGGGGAGTCAAGAGGAGAGTTGTCACCTAAGGATTCCTGACTTCTGACCTGCTCTTGTAGCCACAGTTTTTATATGATTAGTCCAGTTGAATTTCTGGTCAAAGATAATCCAAAGACATTGATATGGGGGGGATTCAGAGATGGTACTGCCATTAAATGTCAAGGTAACAGTTAGATTGCCTTCTTTTGGAGATGGTCATTGCTTGGCATTTGTGTTGTGCAAATGTTACTGCCACTTTTCAGCCCAAGCCTAGAAGTTGTACAGGTCTTTCTGCATTTGGACATGGATTGCTTCGGTATTTGAGTTGCTGCAAATGGTGATGAACATGGTGCGGGCATCTGTGTACATTCCCACTTGACCTTATGATGAAGGGAAGTTCGTTGATTAAGCAACTGACAACAGTTGGGTCTAGGACACTACTCCAACGAACTGCTGCAGAAGTGTCCTAGAACTGAAATGACTGACCACCGACAATCACAATCATTGTAGATGTTAGTGTGATCGCCTAGCTGGGAGGTTTGATTACAGACATTTTGTCCCCTTACTAAGTGACATCCTCAGTGCTGTGGAGCCTCCTATGAAGTGCTGTTGTCTTGTGCCGGTTCAAATTCATATGGTCTGGTTTTTGCTGCTTCCCGTAGGTGCCGGTTCCGGCTGTGCATTGTAACATTCGGTGTATCGGGTCTAATCAAATATGTTTGTTGATGGAGTTCGCAAATGAATGCCAAGCCTCCAAGAATTCCCTGGCTGTCCTTTTTTTGGCTTGTCCAATGATAGTAGTGTTGTCTCAGTTGAAAGTGTGGTTTTTCTCGTCTGTGTGTATTGAAACCAAGGACATCTGGTCACGTTGTTTAGTTGCTAGGTGGTGTTCGTGGATGCGGGTTGCTAGTTGTCTGCCTGTTTGTCCCACATTTGTCCTCCACATGGTATCCTGTAGACCACATTCGTCTTGTCCATGGTATCTAATGGGTCTTTAACTCTGGTCGGTTGCTGTCTTAGTGTGGCTGCCAGTTTGTATGCTGTCATGATTCCTATGGTCCATAAATAGTGCTCTTGCTTAACAGGTTAGATGTTGAGAAGGTGTTTCCACTAATCAGCGAATCTCAAACTAGACGACATTGTTACAGAATAATGGGACGCTCATTTAAAACAGAGATACAAAAGAAAGGAGTGGGAATAAATGGATGTTTTTCTAGTTGGCGATCAGTGACTAGTGGTGTGCCTTAGGGATCAGTGTTGGGACCACAATTGTTTACAATTTATATACATGATTTAGAGTTGGGGAGCAAGTGTAGTGTGTCAAAGTTCGCAGATGACACCAAAATGAATGGTAGAGCAAAGTGTCCACAGAGGATACTGAAAGTCTGAGGGACATAGATAGATTAAGTGAATGGGCAAGGGTCTAGCAGATGAATACAATGTTGGTAAACGTGTGGTCATCCATTTTGGTAGGAATAACAGCAAAATGGGCGATTATTTAAATGGTGAAAAATTGCAGCATGCTGCTAATCAGAGGCACCTGGGTGACCTAATGCACGAGTATAGAAAGTTGGTTTCCAGGTGCAGCAGATAATTAAGAAGGCAAATAGAATATTGTCCTTCATTGCTAGACAGACAGAGATTACAAATAGGGAGGTTATGCTACAGCTCTATGGGGTGCTGGTGAGGTCACGCCTGGAGTATAGTCTCCTTACTTGAGAAAGCATGTACTGGCATGAAAGGCGGTGCACAGCAGGTTCACTAGGTGGATTCCGGAGTTGAGAAAGTTGACTTAAGAGGAGAGATTGAGTAGACTGGGACTAGATTCATTGGAATTTAGAATGAGCAGGGATCTTACAGAAACATATAAAATTATGAAGGGAATAGATAGAAGGAGGTAGGTTGTTTCCACTGGTGGATGAAACTAGAACTAGGGGAGATAGCCTCAAAATAAGGGGGAGCAGATTTAGGACTAAGTTGAGGAGGAACGTCTTCACACAAAGGGTTGTGAATCTGTGTAATTCCCTGCCCAGTGATGCAGTTGAGGCCACCTCGTTGAACGTTTTTATGGCAAAGGTAGTTAGATTTTTGAACAGTAAAGGAATAAAGGGTTATGGTGAGCGGGCGGATAAGTGGAGCTGAGTCCACAAAAGCCATGACCTTATTGAATGGCAGAGAAGGCCTGATGGGTCAGGTGGCCTACTCCTGCTCCTATTTCTTATGTTCTTATGTTCCCAGAGGGTGATGAATGCTTGGAATTCTCTACCCCAGAGAATAATGAATAAATCATTGAAAATATTTAAAGAATAGGGAGATAGATTTTTTGAAATATCTGGAAGGTGAGGTCTATGAGGAGCTGACACGAAAGAAGCATCATCAAAACCCTACAGTGTGGAAGCAGGCCATTTGGCCCATCAAGCCCACACCAACCCTCTGAAGAGCATCCCACCCAGACTCACCTCCCTACCCTTTCCCCATAACTCTGCATGATGGCTAATCCACCCAGCCTGCACATCCCTGGACACTATGGGCAATTTAACAAGGCCAATCCACCTAACCTGCACATCTTTGATTGAGGGAGGAAACCAGATCACCTGGAAGAAAAATGCAGACATGAGGAGAATGTGCAAACTCCATAAAGATAGTCGCCCGAAGGCGGAATTGAACCGTGTCCCTGGCACTGTGAGGCAGCAGTGCTAATCACTGAGGCACCATGCCACAAAAGTTGAGAATTGGGACAGATCAGCTATGATCTTACTGAATGACAGGACAGGTTTGAGGGACCAAATGGCTTACTCCTGCTTCTATTTTTTATGTTCTCATGAGGGTCCACAGTTTAGAAACAAGGGATTCCCAATTAACAACAGAAGGTCATTAGCTTTTGGAATTTCTTTCTTCAGAGAGCAGTGAAGGCTGGCTCATTCAAGGCTGAATTAGACAGACTTGTGATCCACAAGAGAATCAAGGTTTATGGGGGTCAGGAGGAAAAATGGAGTTGAAATCACCATCAGATCAGCTATGATCTTATTGAACAGTGGAGCATATTGGAGAAGCCAAATTGCCAATCACCTGCTTTCATTCATAAGAGCTTTTGATTTATTGTGATCTTAACTAACATTTCTTCCATAGCCACACTCCATTAAAAGTAGAATACTTCATATTTATCTAATTGTTTTGTGGGATATTGTACTGCAAATGCCTGAATAAAAACACTTCAAAGTAATTCACATATGTAATATTCCTGATATATAGATGGTGCTGTGTAAAAACATACATTGAAACATCTTGTACTTAAATGGTAAGCAAATACTATTGCAAAACAGGACCAAGCTATTCGATTTATTAAGATCTATCTACAAATTTGTGAATTACAGAAATGGCTGTTTAAATTCTGTAATCATTAAATGCCCTTACGTCTTTATTATTGTACATACTGTGAAAACATTAACTGAGTCTAAGTCTATTGCCTCTGCAATAATGCATTTTGCATTTTCACAAGCTGAAAGGATCCTGGGGATATTTGCACACACATCACGAAGTTGACCCAGCCAACTGAGTAAACAGTTAATAAGGCCTGCATAGTGCTTGCCTTTATAGTTAGAGACAAGAATTCAAAAGTAAGGAAGTTATTATGACCCTTTATAAAACACTGGTTTCATTTCAACTGGACTGATGTGTCTTACACTTCCAATTCAGGAAGAATGTCAATGCCAATGGAGAGGGTATAGTAGAGATTTTGGAGATGACAGACTTTTGTTTTGTGAACAGAATGGTGAAGCAGTGACTGCCCTCATTAGAAAAGATAGAGAGGAGACTGGAAGAATAATTTTAAAAATCATAAGTGAACTGGATACAGTAGACAAGGAGAGAACCTGAGGAGACAGATTCAAAAATATTAGCAAAACAATCTGCAGCAACATCAGGAAAAGTTTTGTATGCAGCAAGAGGTTAGGATCTAGATCACACTGTAGATTCTACAAAGGCTTTCAAAACAAAATTGAATAATTGAAAAGGTTTGCAGGGCTATGAGGAAAAGGTAGTGGAGGGAATGGAATCTCTATAAGAAACATAAACAGGAACAGATCATATGAGCCTGTTTTGCCATTCAATGTAATCATAGTTGACCTTCAGCTTCTACTCTACTTTCTGTGCTCCCTCCCCATATCCCTTGATTCCCCGAGGCTCCAAAATCTCTCTATCCAGTCTTATACATATTCAATGAGGGAGGATCCTCAACCCTCTGGGATAGAAAATTCCAAAGATTCACAACATTTCAAGTGAAGAATTTTTTGTTATTGCAGACATAAATATTTGGCTCCTTACCCCACAACTTGTATTTGAGAGTTCCCCATGTAATTTCAGTTCCCTTTCCTTCAAACACAAATCTAACCCATTCTTAAATACTGACATAAACTCTGTTTAATCACAATCAATGGCAGTGCATTTCACAACCCCAGAACTCTTTTAAAGAAAAGTAGTGGTAAGTAATCCTACTCTTGGAGAAAAACTCCACGTTTTGGGATTCTTTGGTTGCCATGTTGCTCTGATTGTATGTATGTTGCTGAGAACCTGAAATAGGTAACAATGAATAAGTATTAGTTATAGAGTGCAACACGGAATCTCTTCTGGTCTGTCTTATTCCAGGCTTCCCCAGTACAGGTTTTCACAGACAATTATTTAGGCTATTTTGTAGGCCACTATTTAGCTAAGCAAAAGTATTAAAACTAGGCATGAATCTAAGTAACAGATTTCCTCAAGCTGTTCCAGACCTCTATATCACTGAACATGAGAAAGTACCAAAACCAAACAGTATTTCGTATGAAACCTAGCCTCGGCATTGGATTAGAGACCCAGCTTAAAAAGCCACAAGCATCCAAGATAGGATTTGCCTTTCAGACTTCCCACATGACAAGTGCCCCACCCATCAATGGATGACTATATATGATAACAGGATGAGGTCCCACTCAAAGGCCTCAATTTGCAGTGTGAATGAAGGAAGGCTGTCCATTAGCCTTTATGTTTCAGACTTGGTCAGCATAGAGGTAGGAAGGTGTCACTGCCCTCACCTCGCCATCCTCTTGCTTGAAAAATGCACACTCTCCTTGCCCATTATAATACTCCCCATGGGAAGGGCATAAATCTCCACCCATAGGGTCATAAAGGCACAGAAGGATTCCATTCAGTCTAACTCCACTGAATATTAGCTGAGTGGCTTATTTTGTGATCTAGTGAATGCTTCATAAAAATTCACTTACAATAAACAGATTACAATTTAGAAATGCACATTATCTTTTTATACTCAGTTCATTCCTTTCCCTCCCACCACCCCCCAGTGCACATTCAATCTGATCCAAATAACAGGTTATAATAACTTCAAACAGATATTAGACTATGATTTTCTATATATCTTTCCAGCCCATCTTAAATACTGGAACGAACTGTCAATTCCCAAGCCAATGGGACAATACTTGAATCAAGAGTTTTGGAAAACTACAACCAAAGTATATACAATCCCATCATTTATTTCAGACCTTAGGATGGAAACCATCAAGTTGTAAGAATAAATTCCACTATAGACTTGAATACAAAATCTAGGTTGATACTCTAGAGCACAGTCAGAGGTGTCATTTTTTGAGAGATCCATAAACTCAATGTCTCATCTGCAGCGGTGGGCACAATATGTCCTAAGTCATTATAGTGAAGAGCAAGAGAGTTCACCTGATGCCTTAACTGATACATCTCCTACAACAAACTTTGCTGGGGCACATTTTCTCACCTTTATCCCAAAGTTATTTGTGCAAACTCTATGGAATTCCACTCTATTCCTCCATTTCAGTAACTATCAAACTTAAAAAAAGGTACATGTGAAAAGCATTATACAAATGGAAGTCTTTCTTTCTTTCAATAGTCTTCATAACTGGCATTTGATTTGTAGAACCCAGTTGTCCTCTTTGCAGCTTATACAGTCAACACTTTGTGCCTAGATGGTACAGATAACAATCCGCCTAGAAAGGTTCGACAAATGGAGGATTTAACCAGTAGGTGACTTACCTTTTGGCCATCAAAAAGGCAGAAACGAACCTGCCTGCTTAGCACTTGCACAGCAGACCCAGGTAAAGGAACCATTCTACAGCTCCACAATGTAAACATATGTGATATATGCGTCTTCACTGGACGGAGCTGTAAACACCAAAAGAAGACCACAAGACATAGGACCATAAGTAGGCTTTTCAATGAGATCATGGCTATCTGATAGCCTTGAAATTCCACTTTCCTGTCTTTTCCCTATAACCTTAATTTCTTAATGATTAAAAACTGTGGCTCAGCCTTGAATACATTATTGATTCAGTCATAAATGAGCAACTCCATTTTCTGAGATTATGATCTCTGGTTCTAGACTCTCCCACAATGGGTAACAACCTTTCTGTACCTATAATCACAAGTTTTCTAAGAATATTGTATGTTTCAATAAAGTCACCTGTCTCTATTCCAAAGGTGTGAGCAAGTTTCTGCATTCTGGGCAACAATCTGATTACTTGAAAAGTATACAGAACAGCATTTTATGTCAGCATGTAGATGGTCCTACAAGAGACGGTGCAGTGCTGGACCTAATTCTAGGGAATGAAACCAGACAGGTGCTCAAGGTGACAGTGGGGGAGCATTTTAGTGATAACGTACAGTGTTGTAGTCGCTAAGTTTGTTATGGAAAAAGATAAAGATGGTCTGCAAAAAGGGTTTTGCACTGAGGTGAGATAGATTTTGTTAAAATAAGGCAGGCTCTGGCTAAAACAGACTGGGAACAGCTACTTGACAGTAAATCTAGCAGAAAAAGTGGAAGGCTTTCAAAATGGTACCGGGGGGTACAAGCCTAACATGTTCACTTTATGGTGAAACGTAGGAGCAACAAGCCTAGAGAAACATGGATGTCCAGGAATATTTAGGACTATATAAAAACGAAAAGGGAGACATGTAACAGATACAAGGGGAGCAAAACAACAGGGGCATGAAGGAGAATAGGAAGTGCAGGAGGATCTCAAGAAAGCAATTGGAGATCAAACAGGGGGGCATGAGAAAACACTGGTAGGGAAGATTTGGGAGAATCTGATGATATTCTTCAAGAATATGGCCTATTAAGGTGGGCAATCTTCGCGTGAAGCTGGATAGAGTGATAAACAAATACTTCACATCTGTCCTTACTCAGGAGAAGGAGTGTATAAGTACAAAATTTGAGATAAGAGACTGTGAAATTCTTGGAACAAGATTTATAAAAGAAGTGAGGATGTATTGGAGGTTTTGGAGAATTTAAAAGTGGACAAATCCCCAGGTCCAGATGAGTTGTATCCCAGGCTGCTGTGGGAGATGAAGGAGGAAATTATGGAGGGCTAACCCAAATTTTCAAATCATCTCTGACCACTAAGGAGGTGCCAGATGACTGGCACTTTATGAGAAGTGTGGGAGGAGATAGGCCAAGGAACTATAGACTAGTGAGTCTGACATCAGTGAAAGGGAAACCACTGGAGAAAAAGAGTGAAGGAGAAAATTAATCGCCATTTAGAGTGGCATGATTTGATCGGGATTGTCAGCATGGCTTTGTAAGAGTGAAAAAACTGGTGGAATTTTTTTGACATGACCATGTGTTTGGATGAAGGTGTTCATCCAGCTCTACACCTTGTTATCTCAGATTCTCCACCATCTGCAGTTCTTTCTATCTCTGAAACGTAGAAATAGACCCCGTATACTAACTCCTGCTAAAACAACAGAAGCGACAAGATCATCACACCAGAGGATCATATATATCAGGAGGGAAGCAGAATACCAACGCTTCGATTAGAGGTCACACTGATGATGTTGCCTAGAAAGGTGATGAAACATCTGCACACCACAAAACAAACGGTTCGGCGAGCTAACGAACAACCGTAACCCCTTAAGTCCAGGTATCATCCTTGTAAACCTACACTGTACTCCATCCAAGGCCAACATATGTTTCCTAAGATTTGGTGCCCAGATCTGCTCACAGCACTCAAAGTGAGGCGTAACCAGTTTTGTATAATTGCAGTATAACGTCTGCCATCTTATACTCCAGTCCTCTAGATATAAAGGCCAGCATTCCATTCACCTTCTTGATTATTTTTTCTACCTATTAGTGGCATTTTAAAGATATATGCACCTGAACCCCAAAGGCTGTTTGGACATTCACTGTTTTTAACTTCATACCATCTCGAAAATATCCTGATCTATCCTTTCTCATCCAAAATGGATAACCTCACACTTGCTTACGCTGAAATCCATCAGCCATAGCTGTGCTCATTGACCTAGTCTATGAATTGTCTTTGCAAGTTTATATACTTCTGAATAACATTCCATATGGCAATGGTATATAAACAAATGATAAACAAAATGTACATTACTCACACCACCATGTACTCTGTCCCAGTGAAGGTCTTTAAAGTACAATTTGGACTGGGTTAACTTAGGCTGCAAATAGTAACTCATGTGGAATTCATTTCCTGTGAAGGGGAAATGTAAAATCAGACCATAATTATTTGAACGATAGTGGAGGTAATCCAGGGATACAGTCAGATACCAGATCACAAACTCTTGAAAACAAAACAAAATTGATGGAAAGAGCAGCACACCTATGGCATGCATCTCCTTGCAGCTAGTTCAAACACAGTTGTGAACCAATTTATAAAGTGGTTTCAACAGAATAAAATGTCCCCAGGCACGTCGCAGAACTAAATGCATCAACAAGCCAAAAAGATATGAGGTCATACGGCCAAAGGCTTGGTCAGTCATAGGTTCTACGGAATATCTTAAAGGAGGAAAATGTGGTTGAGAGGCTAAGATGTATTGGAAGGGAATTGTAAGTTTTGTGGCCAAAACAATTGTAGGTATAGCCATCAATGGCAGAACAATTAAAATTGAGAATGCTCAAGAGGTCAGAATAGATGGAGCTGAAGGAGATTACTGAGATAGAAAGGGATGATGACATTGAGGAATCTTTTTAGAAAAACAGAATTTTAAAATCAAGACTTTGCTTGATCAAGGTTAGCTACAGAGATAGTGGATACATTAGTTTAATTTTTCAAAGATTCCTGGATTCTGAAGAAGTACTGGGGGTCTGGGAAACTGCCAATGTGACAGTTCAAAAAGGGAGGGAAGATGTGGGTAACTATAGACCGATTTAGCCTAACTTCTATTCTTGGAAAAACATTGTAATCAAGTATTAAGAAAGTAACAGCAGCACATTTGGAAAATCATAATCTCATCTAGCACAGTCAGCACGGCTTCACGAAAGGGAAATCATGTCTGACTAACTTATTAGAGTTTTTCGAGTACCAGAGTGGATAGAGAGGAGCTAGTAAGTGTTGTATTTGGACTTCCAGAAGGTGTTCAACAAAAGGTTAAGAATTAAGAGCCCTTGGTCGTGGAGATAGTATATTTTCATGGATAGCTAATTGGTTAATGGGCAGAAAACAATGAATAGGGATAATGTGTTCTTTTCCAGGTTAGCAACCTGAAAACAGAGGTTTTCCTCAGGGATCAGTGCTGGGACTGCAACAAATAACAATATATATTAATGACTTAGAGGAAGGAAGCAAATGTATCATAGCCTAATTTACAGGCAACACAAAAATGAACAGAAAAACAAATTGCAAGAGCGAATCAAACAGTTTGCAAAGAGATATTGATAGGTTAAGTAAGTGGGCAAAATAACAAAGTGACAAATGGAGTATAATGCGAGAAAGTGTGAAGCTGTTCATTTTGGAATGGAGAACAAAATAAAAAAAAATGTTATTTCAACGGAGAGAAACTGCAAAAACCTGCAACTCAAGGGGACTTAGAAAGCTAGCATATAGGTGCCATGGGTGTTCAGGAAGGCTAATGGAATGTTGGTCTTTGTCTCAAGGGAATTGGGAGTGGAAAAGAGGGAACTCTTACTGTAACTGTACAAGGTGCTGGTGAGACCACATGTGGACTACTGAGGCCTTTGACACTGTCAATCAGAAAGCATTATAAAGCGTCCTTCTTCACTTTAGTTGTACCTTGAAGTTTGTCACCATCCTTTGCCTCCTGCACGATGACATGGTAATGACAAATGGCTCCATATTGATCCAATTCCCTTTCCACCGCTGTCAAGCAGGTCTGCTCATCACCCCAACACTGTTCTCAACCTACCTCACTGCTATGCTTCACCTCACCGCCGACAAGCTCCCCAGTGAAGTGGAACTAACTTACAGAACCAGCAGCAAATTATTCAAACTCCATTGCCTTCAAGCCAAAACCAAAGTCACCACAACCAGTGTCATCAAGCTGCAGTAAGCAGATGATGCTTGCTCATGTGTAATCTCAGAGGATGATCATTATTAGCACCTTCATGGAAGCATGAGAGCATAAGTCTCACCCGGAACATCCGCAAGATGAGGGTCCTCCACCAACCTGGTCTGGTATTGTGGAGCGAACCCCCAGTCATCAAGATCCATGGGAGGCCTTAGAGAATGTTGACCACTTCCAATACCACAGGAGTATCCTTTCGGCCAAAGAAACTATTGATGAAGTGATCCAGCACCGCCTCCAATGTGCTACTGCAGCCTTTGGCCGCCTAAGGAAAAGAATGTTCGAGGACAACAACATCAGATCTGACACCAAGATCCTGGTTTACAGAGCTCTGGCAGTTCCTGCCTTCTTATATAGCTCTGAGCTGTGGACTGCCTATACAGCAGACACCTCAAAGCACTGGAGTAGTACCACCAAGGCTGCCTGCTGTTATGACGGGGAATGGCTGAACGCCTCTGATAATTAAACTAAAACACAAGCCCTGATCTGTTATGACAGAAGTAGTGGTTCCTCTGTAATAATTACCCTGAAACATCCAGAGAAGCTCATCTTTCCCCTCATAATCAATTAAAAGAATGGTTAAAAGAAAGAAAATCCCTGATCTTCACTTTACACATAACAAGAAACAATTTATTTATTTAACCCAACAACGGACAAATTAACAAAATTGCTAACAAACGGACAATTCCCCCCTGGACTACTAACTACTTCCTAACTGGTCTAAATTCTACTGGAATGCTGTTTAAATAAAGACAAGTCCCACTAATATAAACCAAATTAATAAGAAGCAATAAACTATAACTTAATCTATCCAAGTTCGCACAGCCAGTCTTCTGGAATATTCTGTCACCTCCACTCTCTTCACAAACAGCTTTTTTCTGTTAATTCTGCTGTCAGGGATGTTTTATCTCCATAATTTCTTCATTGAGGACTTTGAGCTAAAATACCGTGGTACTTTTCATTAATTAAATGGTCTTTCTCCGAGAGCTGAATGGTGCTAACTCTGGCAGGTGGCAGTTGTCTCTCTCTGTTTCAGATGGCAGTTGGTTCTCTCTGATTTTCCAAACGCCCTCATCTTATATACCCATAATGACATAATCAAATTCTTAAAATATGATTGGCTTCTGGTTGTCAACACCATCAGATCTAAATTCAATTGGCTTTGAATCGCTGAGTTTGGTTTTAAATTAATTGGCCACATTCAAACTCATTGATACAACATCAAAACAGACTGCTGTTTTGCCTGCCACCTATAAGGCTTTTTTGATACACGTTTCACTTTTTGAGGCTTTCTGTACTGATAACTTCAGCTACTGCTCACAGACATACATTTTTAAAAGTTTATCAGTAAAGACAAAGCACAAATCTCTTAAAGGAACCACATATTTTAGCTGAGATAGTAGGAACTGCAGATGCTGGAGAATCTGGGATAACAAGGTGTAGAGCTGGATGAACACAGCAGGCCAAGCAGCATCAGAGGAGCAGGAAGGCTGACGTTTCGGGCCTAGACCCTTCTTCAGAAATCTGAAA